AGGATGGTGAGTTGGGCTTCAGTCTGGTGGTGGCCGTCGGAGGCGCGCAGGGTGAGGCTGTAGCGGCTGCTCTGCTCGTGGTCCAGCGGCGCCGCCAGCGCCAGGCGCCCCCCGAAGCGCAGCACCGAGAACCTGCCCCCCCCGTCACCCCCCGGCACCAGCCAGTAGGACAGCGCGGGGCCCGAGTCCACGTCGTTCCCAGTCAGCTGGGCGATCTGGGTACCCAGCAGTGTGTCTGCAGAGAGGCAAGTCATGAAAAGCAGCCCCATCTCCCTGGAGAAGATCTGGCTCCCCTGGTGGGACACCAGCTCAGTCCAGAGCCTGAGCACCGGGGAGAAGGGGAGATGATGGGGAAAGGTGAGGCCTTGGAGCGGCTGGGCAGGCCACGATTGGCACAGGGGCCACGGACAAAGAGCAGGCAGGGCAGCTCGAGTCTCCCCAGTGTGGGCAGGGGCCAGGAATTGGGAATCCAGTTGGTTCCTTCAGGACACAGCTGCAGCACTGGGGCACACAAACCCCAGTGCTGAAAAGCTCAGGGGAGGTCAGTGGGAATGGGCACAATCCCCTTGGCAAGGGGACAGAGAGGCCTTTCTGGGGGCTCCTCCCACAGGTGTCCATGCACCTCAGCTCGTGCCCTTGCTGGGGTGTGAGCCCCTCGTGGTGAGGATGAACTGCACTTACTCTCTGGGACCCGCACCTCCCAGGGGAAGGGGATGGTGGGGCTGTTGTCGTTGATGTCCATCACCACAACAGTCAGTGTGGCAGAGCCCACCAGTGGAGGAATCCCTCTGTCCATCGCTGTCACCACCAGGCTGTGGGAAGCACAGGGGTCACAGGGGCGTGGGAGGAGCACAACACCCGGAGGATGGGGGGCACCGAGTGTGTGCACAGGGCTGGGCTGTGCCCATGCAGGTGGCTGTGCTGTGCACAGCATCTGAAGTGTCAGGGGCAACTGATACGTGTGGAGCATCTGAAGCACATCTGGAGGCAGTGGGTGTGCACAGTGAGGGTGTGGAGGGCCAGGCAGCAGATGCATACACAATGAGGTGAGCGTCTGCAGGGTAGTGGGCTTGTGTCCAGCACCTGGGACACAGGAGCAGGTGGTGAGCATGGGCACAAGGGTCTGGGTGTGTGGTGGGCAGTGGATTCACACCCAGCCCTGGCACATGGGACATGCTGGCATGGCTGGAAGCTTTGGCACGGGGAGGTAGTGAGTTCACCCAGAGCATTTAAAGTGTGTGCAAGGGGCAGGGGTCTGGAATGCAGGTGGGAAATGAGGCAGAGCATGTTCTGGGGTGCAGGAGATGGGCATTTGGGGCATATCTGGGTGCTGGGGGAGGCATGGAGCCTCTGTGGGATGGTGGTGGGTATGTGGATGGAATGAACACCATAGGCCTCCTCATGCCTGGAAAGGGGTCCTACAGGAAAGCTGGGAAGGGACTTTTAAAAAGGGCATGTAGCAACAGGACCAGAGGGAATGGCTTAAAACTGTAAGAGGAGAGATTTAGGTCAGACACTAGGAAGAAATTCTGTGCTGTGAGGGTGGGGAGAGCCTGGCCCAGGTTGCCCAGAGAAGCTGTGGCTGCCCCATCCCTGGGGGTGTTGAAGGGCAGGTTGGATGGGGCTTGGAGCAGCCTGGGCTGCTGGGAGGTGTCCCTGCCCATGCAGGAGTAGGACTTGGTGAGCTTTAGGGTCCTTCCTACCCAAACCATTCTGGGATTCTGTGATTCTACAAAGAAGGGAGAGAGACGTGTAATCCCAGCTGGAGCATGATTGCAGGGAGAGAAGTACCTGAATGGGAGGCAAGAATTGTGCCTTGCATCTGAATCATGACTTGTAAAATGGCAGGGGAAGATTCATTGCACTGTGTGCAGCGTTTGCCAACTGCTTATCCATGGGTGGCTGGATGATGTCTAGAGCCTGTGGGCACGGTGAGACCTGGGCTGCCTGCAGCAGGACTCGCCACAGGGCTCAGGGCAGAGCCCAGTGCCCAGCAGGGCAGAGGGTGCAGGGCCTGGGACTGGGACGGGGCTGAGTGTGTGTGGCCTGGACTAAACAGGGAATGGTGCAGCCACTGGAAGGAGTCTCCCCACAGTCTTCTCAGATTTGTAGATACTAGGCTGAACAGAGCACTGGCCCATCTCATGGCCAACTGTTAGTCCTTCAATACCACTTGCTCCCCATGTTAGCACCAAGCCTCCATT